AGATGTTTCGAATGGAATTTTCCATCATTTACTTTTATCATATTATATCGATATTCCCATTTTATAATTTTTTCCAGACTCAATGGCTTGAATGACATATGATTGAACATCCATTCGAGAATTCCTAATTTATTAGCTTTCTTCACAATAAACTGCCAATCATATTGAGAATCGTTAAAGCCTATATGTATGTCCAGGGCTAGAAGTTTTCAACATAAAGCGAATGCTTTTAGTAAATCTGTCTGTGATCTACATACAATTGTGATCAAGCGTAAGTCTAACGCTATTTCAACATTGACAAAACAGATTTGTTTTAACAGTTCAGGATCATTTTTCCAATGCACTGTCATACAAATCATAAACACTTTGTCTTTATCATATTTTGCATTAGGCACTTGCCAGTTCTTCTGTCTCTATGTCCCATGTGAGAATGAGGGTACGATCTCATAAAAGTGCTGAGGAGAATAATAGATTATTATAATTGTCTTCACTTATTGGATTATAATTATCCACAGATAGTCGAAATAGGTAAGTACCATTCGGGGTGAATTTGTATAAATAATTGCTTAATACAGCCCAACTTGAAAGAGGTAATCATTCTTCACGAGCTACTTTGCAGTAATAATACTGGCAGCTTAGGCTGTACGAATGTTAACTTCACAAACTGCTTTTAGAGCATTATACCAATCAAAGATGTTCCATGTCCTTATACGGATATATGCTTTCTTTTCTGTATAATAACCCTAAAGTAGAAAAACACGAATATTCTCAAACCCAAATTTTGTTGTATTTTTGAGTATAACTGATAAAATGTGTGCTAATATGGTCCTAAGTGAAAAGAAGGAATGGTTTTCAGGTACTTCAACATCGAAGAATAGTCAGATGCCTGTGATATTCACGATCACCTTTTGCCCATTAATTAAAGAACCGGTGATATACAAGATATAGGAGAAATACCCCTTGATATCATCACTAACTTCAGTAGGCATAAAATGTATGGGTTGCTTATTGGATAAGCATTGTTGAAGTATAGCAGTTATCCCATTATCGAATTCTGTCACAATATCATTACGTGATGGAATACCAACTAAAGACTCGACGCTGTCATAGTGGATGAGTGTTGGGCTAGATTCAGTGCAATCAGTTTGATCAAAAATAGTTGAGGTATACATAGCGTCAGTAGGTAAAACTTTATATACTTCAATATATTTCCGAAATGTTTAATTAATTTTTTTTTGATGGATACTCTCCTTTGATACTATGCATCTAAAGGAAATGAGCACACACACATTTTTTCTCATATATTCAACTTTTAATCAAAATTCTGCAGGAGAAAAGCTTACCTTGATTCTAAAGAAAATTGTTAGACAATTTTCTGCAGAAGCTATAGCAAACTTAGTCGACAAAATATAAAAGAAAGGCAACTGTATATATATCTAAAAGTGTAGCCTTCTGTAGAATTATATTATAATGGCAGAAAGCTACACTTTTCTAGTATGTATCTAAGTATAGGTATGGGTATGGGTATGGATAAGGGTAGGTAAGTGCGTAATCTATTATATAAATATTGGCACTTACCTATCCTATCACTAGTATGTAGTCAGAAAAAAAGATAGTGAATTTAGTAGACAAAACGTAAAAGGAAGGCAATCAAATATGCAACTGAAAGTGAAGGCTTCTCCGTAATCATTATATAAAATATTGGGAGAAGCCTTCATCTTTCTAGATATGTACTCGGGTATAGTATAAATGGATCAGCTATAATAATATATAACACACCTTCAACTTCAAATACAAAATTGGGATATATTGTAACCCAAATGATCTTAGAAAAATTAGAAATGTGATGCAGTAAAATGATCTGCAAATGATCATCATGAGAATTGATCTGCAAGAATCAATGACACAATAATCGGCAAAAGATGATCTGCGAAATTAACCAAATCGGTTAATGAAG